AAAATGTGGGTGGTGATCATAAGTGATTTATTTGTTTGATGGTGGATATAGGATATATTATGGATGTGACAGCTCATGGAAATAAATGTCATGATACAGATAGATGTGTTATGTGTCATGTAATTTTTAATCGTTAAGGCGGATTTCATTGAACGATTTATTTATTTTATTGCAGCAGCATTAAAATTATTGGATTGTGATGTGAATATACATTCAGTAATGAAATAAAATATTTGTGTGATGATCAATGCAGCAGGCAACGATCAATTCCGTGATTTATAACAAATGAGATTTGAGATGATATCGATCCGATCGATAGACATACACTTCAACATAATAATGCTTTATCGAGTACCTGTAATAATTCATTTATGATAAATACATCTCGTTTGCCGTGTGGAATATTTATTAAATAAATAAACGCGTTCGTTCAGTTGAGCATACAAGATAATGTTTACAAACAGCGATGATTTATTTATCTTATGGTCAGCGAGTATGATTTATTGATGGCGCCTTTCGAATGAAAACTTTCATGCGAATTTGATTTATTCATTTATTTATTGTTGTTGTTTTTTGTGTTTTTACTGTCGCTGTAATTATTTATATTCATATGCGGATGGACATATGATGATCTTGCACACACGTTTATACGAAGGTGTATGATGCATTCGCATTGCCGTGATTCCGTACCGATGACCATAATTAATTGCAGACATAAAACGAAATAAAGTGTTTGAATAATGCCAACTTGAGATTATTGATTATTTTATTGACGACTTTGATATTATTATACGTTAAAATTCATTATTCATCCAAGATTTATTCTGCTACGAAGTGTATTAAACGCAATAAAAGGTAGATTTATTGTTAATTGTTTATGGAGTTGTTGAAATGAATGAATGACGAATTAAGAGAATTGAAGCAATTCGAGTAGATGTTGTTCGAGATGCGGTAGAAGGAGAGCAAGCGGTACTGATGCAGCGGTATGCCGTTAGATTGCGGAATTTGGTGCCTCCTCTCTGAACGAAGGCGACACGTTGAAAAGTACCTACCTACCTACTTCTTAAGCACTCATGCTAACTTTGCCTTCTTCATCTAATCACTGCCATCTCTCATTTAAGACTCTGGAGGTTACAAACCATTCAATCGGCAGACGAGAAACGTGCACGTCGACGATTCAATAGTTTATTGCGCGCTTTCGACACCGAAGATCTGGCTGCTATTTTGAAGGTGTTGTATTTCACTCGCAACTGATTGCTGTCATTCCACTCGGATGGATTATCACATATCCTTATCACTCATAACTCACGATATCTTTATTATATCCTCTGAATGACGTGTAACGCCAAACAACTGAACGATATTTTTATATCATATCAGTAACATGTTCCATTGAAAGCTATAGAATAAGCAGCAGTTCCTTGAGCTTCTTGCTCGGACTGCTCGGCAAAAATTTAAGTGGAACTAGAAGAGTGCCTCATCGTGACACATGCATTATCACAAGTCTTATGTCACATCATATCACATATCATCATGTGGTTTATCACATAAGCCCATGCCTCCCTAACGTATCCCTACATTGCCTTAACACATCTATCCGCCTTGATCGCGTCTTGGATATCATTTATCATAAACTATAGGCTGTCGAAACAAGTGGACGAGAGATAAAGCAGTGTGCACCAGGTCCACCGATGGATATAAACGAAGAGATGCCCGGTTGCTCGAAAGATACGGCAGCACACGAGACCGAAGAGGACGAAGAATACGACGAAGCACTTCAACCGCAGAAGTTCGAAGATTCGGGTCTCATTCCACAAATCGACAAACCCATGTCGATGCCTTACCTTTGCTGCAAACTATGGCGATGGAAAGATTTACAGGTACTTATCAATTGCTTGCAACGATAGACAGACAGTGCTTTATGGAATGAATTGTAGGTGGATGCAGCGTTGCACAGGCTTGATCCATTGCCATGGTGTCGATTCGGTCGTGTCACCATGAATAACGCTACTGTTTCTTGTTGTAATCCGTACCATTATGCTCTTTGGATTATCGGTAATATATTCACACACTTATCGTTGATCTTTATCAGTATTGCACTGAAGATGTATATGCTTAAAGCGTTTAGTTGCAGCTGAATCTGGTGCAGATTCCGAAGAGGAGAGTCTTGTCGGGGGTGTTAATGGAACGTTGCCTTTGGGCGAGAATTCCTGTGAGTTGATTTCGAATGCTAGAGGTCGTAGAGCATTATGAAATGAAGTATTCATTGCAGTCTTAACGAACGACACGGGATTCGGTGACGAGTTAACAGCCACGAGTAATATGTTACCTCCGAGCCGTGCCCCTCCGCCAGTCCCAGACTCAGCGCCTTTAACACCACCCAATATCAACACACATCATGCTTCATCTAGTACTGTTTACTGTCATTGGTTATTGTGCCTGTCGTATGAAGAGCAGATAATAATGATAATAAATATTCAGCATGGGCATTAATGTATAGATGGGAAGAGAAGAAGCGAATGGACGATAAGGGAGTGGCTTTACGAGGTGCATTCGTTGCGGTTGGACTGCTTGCAGATGCAGTGCACGACGGTCAGAACGTGTGTTCCGAATGGGATCTGAAGAAGGAGGTGTCTTTCGCGCTCATTCGACAGCCTGACTCGAAGCAGATCTCCGAGGATGTTTGGATTTACAACAGGTTTGAGCAGTTCACTTCACTTCGCACTCAACGCTTCAACAACTTGTTCATTTCAGCGGCTCGAAGCCTTTGTTTATCTCGATGAGCTCGTCCTCAGTGAGCTCGCAAAAGAGTGAAACGATTCGCCGCGTCAGTTCGGGTTACTGCTATCGAGTGCACAGGTTCATCGCATCTCGAACCATTGCAAACAACGCCTTCTATAATCATCCTCTCACAACCACCAATATAACTAGCACCGATCCAAAGGCACATATTATCACTGATAATATCAACACAATCACACAACCACAACAAGACCCTGCAAACACGCACTGTTTTTTGAATATTTCCGTTGGCAAAGGTTGGGGTAGTAATTATCGTAGGATCAATCATACAGACACTCCGTGCCGTTATGAAGTTATCTTTGTGCCCGATTTTATATGAGATTTTAGTGTTGCATTAGTTATTATTCTATTAGGTATGACAGCAACTTCCCGGGCAGTGGCTTTAATTGCCCGGCAACTTTCTGCCCTACCTGATATTGTTATTATTGTTAGTGTTGTAATCAATCAATATTCAATTAATCAATCAGTCGATCACTGCTCTTTTTTGATTATCATTTTGAGTGTTGCAACATTGTATCATTGCCATTATGTTCTCTTGCATAGGGGTTCATTTTTAATTCAACTTCTTTTCGAAGTAAATCTGGATTTCGATACAGGAAAGGGGTTTGTTCGTTGAAGTTTGAAATTAGATTTGCTGAGAGATTTAGGGAATGTACACAGAAATAGATTTGGATACTGTGGGCTGCTTACTGTATTACTGTAAGATATGAAAAGAAGTGCTCATTAAAAGGCATAATGACAATTTGTATGTGTTTGTGTTTTGTATTGTTTTATGATAATAATAATTGTGACGAGGCCGATCTCGAGCTGCGCTTAACTCTTTCCTAGTCGAAGCTTTCACTTTTATTCGTTTCGTCTTCTCTCTCTCTCTCGCTCCTTATCCACAAATATCTATCTATCTGGATTTGATATATTCCT